TGAATCTTCGGTGATATGACTAGCCGACTGTTTCCAGAGGCTTCGTGAAGAGACCGAGGTGCCTGCACAGTGAGGAGAGGGGAGGGCAGGCGCGAACGACGTCATCCTTGCCACACCCAGGCGCTGCAGCATACTCTTGAATCTCTGCTGCTCCCATCTGTCTTGCTCTTCTTGATTCTCGCCGACGCGCGCTGCTGCAGCACAAGGGCGTGACCTCTTCCTATGTTCGAGAACGCTACAGGCTTTGAACCTGCGAGCCCGCTCAACCAAAAACAAAAAACAAAAAAAACGCACGACGCCAGCTGCAAAGCGGCATCGGGCCTGTCCAGGCCCAGCTGCACGACGCTCAACAGCCAGCTCCTCAACGCACAAAAAACTCGACCGACAGACAGAGGATGCACGGCGCTCGACGCACAAAACGCTCGATGCGCACAGGCACCGATCCTGTCCAGGCTCATCCTTGTCACCACAGCGGCGCTCCGACCTCCTCCCCCTTCTTCCCTTCCTCCCTCCTCTCCTCTCTCCCCCTCCTCCTCCTCCTCCTCCTCCTCCTCCTCCTCCTCCTCCTCCTCCTCCTCCTCCTCGTCCTCCTCCCTCTCCTCCTCCTCCTCCTCCTCCTCTCCTCCTATCCTCCTCCTCTCCTCCTCCTCCTCCTCCTCCTCCTCCTCCTCCTCCTCCTCCTCCTCCTCCTCCTCCTCTCTCCTCCTCCTCCTCCTCCTCCTCCTCCTCCTCCTCCTCCTCCTCCTCCTCCGCCTCCTCCGCCTTCTCCTCCTCCTCCTCCTCCTCCTCCTCAACCTCCTCCTCATCCTCCTCCTCCTCGTGCACACGCCCCTCTGGCCGCCAGGAAGGCCGTGGAGTCAGGGCGAAAAATCAAAAATACGCGAAACTATACAAAAATAGACAAAAACAAGTCTCCAAAAAATCGTCCCCACACTATTTGCGGACTCTTTTGGGGTTCCCCCTGTAGAGGGACAGGCCGGACTTACGGCAACGCCTCACTGCACCGACCTTGCAGACGTGTTGCAGCGGGGCTGGGCGCGGATTCCTGTCAATGCAGAGCCCCGAAAAACGTCGGGCGAAAAACGAGGTGACTTTCGTGTGGATTTGTTTTGGTCTTCATTCCTGGCCAAGAAAACATCCACGCAAAATTCACCTCGAAATCCTGAACGAAATTCTCCAGGACACTCCGGGCCCATCCTATTCTTTTTCCGAACGAAGTCCGCTCTGCGATGTTGGCGCCATGACCGAGGCAACGCCGATGGTGCAGTCTGAGGCGTACGCGCGACGAGGGGACGCAACTGCTCGCTGTGGATGACCGTGGTCGGAGTCCTCGAGACGTCGAAGCGCTCTTTCTACGGCTGTGCTTGAAACCCCCAATGCTGATGCCGGAATGGAAGTTCTGAAGATGGCCGGGCCCGGTCCGCGAAAGTGGAGCGCGGCGCCGCTCCCAATGACGATGGCGACCGAAGCCCTTTTTTCAAGTGGCGCAGGTCACCATGAATGGGCGAAGAAGGGTATAAAATAAACTGTTTCGCTGTCGGGGGCGCCTGTCCCAGGGCGGCTGGAAAGTTTATGCCCTTAGGGTGGCACGTCAAGGTATGGACTTTCCAGCCGTCCGGGGCAGTGCCCCCGGCGACGGAAAAGTTTATTTTATACCGTTCTTTGCCCACCAACACCAGGTTGTCGTGTGACACTTTGGCCGCATGGTCGTAATCAAAAGTGCTGCTTGAAAGGGGACGCAGAAAGCGGCATTTCCTGAGGTCTGCGTGGGCTCGTCCAGGTCAGTCTTGAGAGTCGTCACTGATTAAATCGTAGAAGAAGAAAACGTAGAGTGTTCAGTGGCCAAGGGGCGCCCCTGGTTGCAATGAGCCGCCATGGACACGGTACGGTGAGGATGAGCGGAAGACCGAGGGGGGCAGCAAGCGCTGGGACATGCAGTCGTGCGCGTCCACACTTATTGGAAACATTAGCGCTCGCAGTTGCGTATGCTCTTTGACCTCACCCTCCTCCTCCTCCTCCTCCTCCTCCTCCTCCTCCTCCTCCTCCTCCTCCTCCTCCTCCTCCTGCTCCTCCTTTTTACATTGTGCGCAATTTCGCTGCAAAGCCTGTGGCGCTTATCAGAAAGATAAAAGACAGGGCCAGAGGCTGACCTGACCAAAACAGCAATAAAAAAGTAGAGGGGCCAATCAGTGGCAATGAGAAAAAAGTAGAGTATGCAGAGTATGCTGCATGGCCAGGAAACGCAAGGACCCCCAGCCCCCGGTTGGAAGGAAGCAACACAAGACCTCCGTCGAGGACACCCTCCCCATCTTCCTCCTCCTCCCTTTCCTCCTCCAAGAAGAAGAAGAAGAAGAGGAAACGGACGAGACAAACGGGCAGAAACGAAGAGAAGGAGGAGGAGCCGGTTCGACCCTTTCCCTGGAACCCGTCCTCCGTCCTGGGCCGTCACGTGACGGCCCTGGTGCCCACATCCGGCCCCCAAAGGCCGAAGGGGGCGGGAAACCGAGGGCGGCGTCTGTCCGAGGCGCCAAAAGGTCTGGGCGTGAGGGAAGCTCGGCCTGGCGCGAAGAAGCTCGCCATGCTCTGGGACATGACCTTCGGCCCGGAGATGCGCCGGCCTCCTCCGAGGCCAGAGACGTTCTGGGACATGAGCTTGGCCTGGCCCGCACCCTCCTCTCCCGCGTGGCCCGTTCCAACGCTGTGAACACAAACATATTGACGCCCTGCGGGGGTAAAACGACGCGAAGATCGGGACAAAATCGGAGCGGGATAACTCGAAATCTCTGAGAATCGGCGGGTTTGGAGGATGTATTGGGCGCCGCGGCCGCTCCAGAGCGTTCCGGAACGCTCTGAGAGCGCTCCGGAACGCTCTGGAGCGATTTATCCCGATCCTAGCCCTGTTTTAGCGAAGCCGCCCACGGCTGACTTCCGCCAGTTCCCGCCGGCCTCGCGCCAGCTCTCGCCGCGGAGGAGAAGTCAGCCCCTCGACCCCTCGAAGGCGCGGCCCGTTCCAGAAGGCGCCATATGTTTTTCCAGAAATCCCGACACCTTCCCCTGGGGTAAGTTTCGATCGACCTTGGGCCCAATACCAGGCCACGGACGCCGAAATCGAGGCAAACGCCACGGACGGAAAAACACGTCGTTGGAAACCTGGGGAAGCATCTAGAGACATGGGGACCCCCCGGGCCTCCAAGGACCCCTGGAGACCTCCAAAGACCTCCTGGAGACCTCCAGAAACCTGAGCGCCGCCTCCGCCTGCTCAAATATATCCGGAAGTGCCCGCTGCGATCGTTTTCAAATGCCGCGCCCACCACACACCGACTATCCCTCCTCTTCCTGCTCACCCTCATCATCCCCACCATCATCAGCAGCATCAGCACCACCACCGCCATCCGCATCATCATCAGCAGCGTCGTCATCACCATTCAGCACAACTACTCGTCATCATCCTCACCATCATCGTCGCCACCATCACCATCGTCAACATCAACATCATCACATGTAGCGTCAGCATCACCATTACCATCATGACCATCATCGCCCTCATCATCATCACCACCATCACCATCAGAACCACCATCCTCACCATCAGCGTCAGCACCACCATCATCACCATCATCATCAGCAGCATGAGCATCATCACCATCATCATGCACAAATCTACGCGTTCCTTACTCGCATAGCCGACAACAGGGCGCGACGCCCCAATGATGAGTGCGGCGACCTAGCCAGGGCAGCCACCCCGCGAGCGCCACACATGGGAGCGCTTGCAGCGAAAGGCCTGCCGCGACCCAGTGGACTCGTGGAAGCAGGGCGCAGGGCGCGGTGACACCGGGCGAGCCCGTTGACGCACGCACTCGTCACGGATCATGGTCCGCTAAATGAGTCGGCGGTCACTGCTTCAATAGTCGCCTCGCTCTCGCGTCTGTCCGTATCGACGCATTCTTGACAGCGCAGCAAGCCCAATCAGCACCGCGGAGAATTTCGCAGAGGCAGTCGCTGCACCGCCGAATAGTCTCCGCGTGCCCTCGACGGAAAGCTGAGCCAAGAATGGCCCTTTGGCGCGCGCGCGCTGCGCGACTGGCGCGGCGATGGAGACGATCCCGCGACTGTCGACCCGCCGAAGAAGCGGGACAGCGGTTCGAAGAAGCGGCCGCACCGCGCGGACAGCGCACGTCGCCGGCGAACGCGCGCCGCCGCCGCCACCGCAGGGCCGCCGCAATTCTCACGCCACGAGAAATGGATCGCAGTCGCATCGCCCGACAAGAAGAGAACGACACGCGCCCTCGGGCCGCGCAGCTCCGCGTCGGAGACTTCCCCACCCGCCCCGCCAGAGGGGCGCCTCGCGCAAATGATCTGGGGAGCCCCATAAGGCGCGCCCGAAGTGAGCCCCCGAGAGACCACCAACAAAAAAACGCGAGCAGGGCACTGTCGGCGCGCAGGAAGTCAACCAACGGTGGGAGGCGCGAGAGCAACACGAAAGACTCTTGCGGCCACCTCGTAGGGCGCCGCCCCACGGCGGCTTCGCGCGCCCCCCTCACTGACGCACGTGCAAAGGCTGACGCGCCCCAGCCCAGCAATTGGCCTGCTTTGATCAGCTGCCCCACAAGTGCCGAAAGCGTGCGGGCCGTGACACTCAGGCGCGAACAGAGGCACCTCATCGGGCGACGGCGGCAGCGCTTCACAGCCATTATTGTTGAGCCAGCGCTGCGCGAAAGCCATCCAAGCGCGGGCTGCTGCCCTCCACGGCCCGAACGAGCGCGGCGCCGCGCCGACAGTCGCCATCGCTCGCGCGCGGGCCACGCTTCCCTAGCTTGCCGCCGACGAGGCTTCGCGGCCGCCGCTTGCGATGGACGCGCGAGGGCCGCTCTTGGGCGCGGGCGAAAGTTGCGCGGCGCGCGCGGCAGCGGTTGCTCGCGGCGCCCGGCGCAAGCTCGCCCGGGCCTCCGCGCCGGCATAGAGTGGGCGCAACAGGGGCAACTGAGGGCGCACGCCTCGCTCGGCACGCCACGCGGGCCAGCGCCGGCGGCGGCCCGCGCGGCGCCCACGGACTCCCTGCCGCGATGTCTCGCAGACGCACCCGGGCGTCTGCGGCGATGCTTCCGAAGCATCCCACGCGCTCCCAGGCCGCCCCGCGCGCGTCAGCGACGCGTGCGAAGCCATAACTGACGAGTACTTTCGCTATCAGACGCACTCGTCCTCCATGCCTGCACGCTTGCGACCGAACGAGGACGGCGGCGCGCGCGCTGGCCGCGTCGATGGGGCCCGCCCGAGCAGGCCTTGCGCCAGACCCGCCACTTCCGCGGCGCAGCAAAACCTTGCAAATCGTTGGCGCGACACGCGGCTGAATCGGAGCGCCTCCCTCCGCGCGCTCGGCGCGCGCTCCACGGCGGCGCGCAGCGCGGGGGGGATGGGCAGGGGGAGGCGGGGAGGGGGGGGGGCACGCTGCGCACCCAGAGCGGCGATGGCGAAGACGCACGGTGCCCCCAGCGCGGCGCGAATCCTGCACGTTGGCACGACTGTGAAGACACGGCTTGCCATTTTTCTTGCAGAGCCACAGCGCGCCGCAAGCTTCTGGAAAGTGAAATCGCACATCTAGAGCCGCCAGCACCTGACGCGCGCCGAGCAAGCGCAAGAGGCTGCACACCCCGCGAGACGGCCCATCTGAAATGTTACCTTTCGAAGGGGCGCGGTAGACCCACACCAGCACGGACACGCGCGCCGCGAAAGACCAGATCCCGCGGACGAGGACCACGCGATCCCAGCCCCAGGCGCTCGCGCGCGCCACCGAAATTTCAGCCCCCGACTTGTCCGAGAGAACTTCCAACGCGCGACCTGACAATCGTTGTCACATGACGGCAGCCCTAATGCGACCGCCAAGACTTCGAAGTACATCATCTGGCCGTCGCGTCTGCACTTGAACTTATGCAAAATTTCTACGACAACCGCGTAGCCAGTGAATGGGACTTCGCCGTGCACGAGAAGCACGGCGGCAGCGCGAGAGGGCGTACTACGAGCGTCGCGAAACATGTGTCGCGGGCATGTCCGCTTGCTCCCAACAAGCGGCTTCGTGCAGCCTGAGCTCGAGCACCTGGACACACCAGTGCAACGCGAGCTCTAGGGGCCGCCCAGGGCGATTGGAACTCTTGTGCTGGAGCGCGAAGAGTGAGCGGAGCATTGCTCTGCCTGGGCGCTGAAACTGAGCGGCCGACGGGCCCACGCACGCAGGCGAGCGCGCCGCGAGAGCGGTGCGAATGAACAAACTCGCCGCTGAAACGCAACGAGCGCCAAGGCGTGCCGCGACCTGCCCTGCGAGCGATCCCCGCGGCGCGCCTTCGCGCGCGTCCACAGTTGGACCGCGCGCGTCCACGAACAAAAACGCTTTGAATCTCGCGCATGAGAAAGGGTGGGGCGGCGCGCCCCGCGGTCGAGCCACAAGCGTCGCGCGCGCCGCGCCAACGCTGGCCTGACGGACCGACCTGCGATTTGTGCGCGCGCATCACCCTGCAGGTCTGAACCTCCATCGTCCCTCATCCTGCTTTCCTCATCCCATATCCTTCATCCCGCGCACCGCACCCCGCATCCTTCATCCATCATACCTGATGACCATCCACATCATCAATTCCGTCGACAACAACAAGCACCATCATGAGCCTCATCATCATCATCATCATCATCATCATCATCATCATCATCATCATCATCATCATCATCATCATCTTCATCATCATCATCATCATCATCATCATCAACACCACCAACATCATCATCGTTATTACCATCATCGTAAAAAGTATCATCGTCGTCTTCACCACAACCACCACGATCATCATCAACATCACCACCATCATCACCAGAATCAGCATCAGCAACATCGTCATCATCAGCAGCAGCAACGTCCACATCATCATCAGCAGCATCATCAGCAGCGGCATCAGCGTCGTCAACATCAGCATCATCATCAGCCTCAACATCAGCAACATCTTCATCATCGTCAACATCATCAAAATCACAAACACAACCACAGCCATCATCAGCAGCATCATCAGCATCACAATCATGATCCTCATCGTTGTCGTCGTCATCCTCATCATCATCATCAGAATCAGAATGTTCATCACCATCATCACCATCACCATCACCATCATCCTCACCGCCATCACCACCACCATCAGTAGCAGCATCATCAGCATTAGCAGAACCATCTCATTATCCGCATCATCATCATCATCATCATCATCATCATCATCATCATCATCATCACCATCGTCGTCGTCGTTGTCAGCATCGTCCTTATCATCATCACTGTCACATTGCCCACCCTGCTCGCCCTACTCATCCTAATGATCCTCCTGATTCACTCTTATTCCTCCACATGCTCCTCTTCCTAAGCCTGCTTAGCTTCATACTAGTCGTGTGTTTGTTCCTCTTCGGTCCCCTTATGAGTACGCATGGAAACGGGGACTGCGCAAGCAAGAGGTCGACAAGCGTTCCCTTCGTCAGATTACACTGCCACCGTATGGATGCGGGCCACTACTATGCAACCGAAGGCAGCGCTCTGGGTGCGAGAATCGAGCAAGACGCAGAGCACAGAGAAATAAGATGCTGCTCCGAAGCTGCGAAAAGATTGGCGAGATGCAGCGAAGCAGCACATCAACCCTGACAGCCCCAGACGGGTACACCAAGCAGGCAATAGCCAGAGCCTCGGTCTCGAGTCCTCCTTCTCTTCATTTCTTTCACACGGCTCAAGATACCTAGATTCCAGCTTTTGGTGCGTTGAGCTTAAACAGTAAGAAGGGTTGGCAGCTCATGTGATGCTTCGTCGATATGGCAACTATAAGTGCGTGCAGTGCGCAACGAGCGGCTCGAAAACAGACTCTCCACCGGCCTCGCCCCAAGACCGACGGTCCAAACTGCAGCGGCGCAATCATCTTCGCGGAGCCCTCCGTCTCTTCCCTTCTCTTCCCTCACCCCCACCCAACCGCGCGCGAAAAAGAGCGTGCTCGCGTGGGGGAGGGCGGGGAAGGAGGAGGAAGAGGATGAGAACGACGACGAGGAAAGAGAGAAAGAGAGAGGGGGCGGAGAGGAAGGAGGAAGGATAAGGAGGAGGAGGAAGACAAGGAAGAGCAGGAGGGAGGAGAGAGGGGAGGAGGAGGATGAGGAGGAGGAGGAGGAGGGGGAGGAGGAGGAGGAGGAGGGGGACGACGAGGACGAGGACGAGGAGGACGAGGAGGATGAGGAGGATGAGGAGGAGGATTGAGAATGAGGAGGACGAGAACGAGGAGGAGGAGGAAAAAAGGAGGGAGGGAGGAGCAGGGAGGAAGAAGGAGAGGAAGGAGGAGGAGGAGCGGTGATTCGCCGTAGGCGGCCACGCGCCACCCCCTCCGCCGTCCCTGTCAAAAACCACTTGACAGTGATCGCGGGCTGGCCGCGCATGATCCAGATTTAGCCGCGAGGTGCATGTCGTATTGTTTGTTGTCAGGGATGGTAGCACTGCGCGCAGCAGGGATATGCTGACACCCCCGCCGTCCCTTTCAAAAACAATACAAAGTGCTCGAGACGACGAGGACGAGGAGGACGGAGAGGATGAGGAGGATGAGGAGGATTGAGAATGAGGAGGACGAGAACGAGAACGAGGAGGAGGAGGAGGAGGAAAAAAGGAGGGAGGGAGGAGCAGGGAGGAAGAAGGAGAGGAATGAGGAGGAGGAGGAGGAGGAGGGAGGGAGGAGGAGGAAGGAGGACGATGAGGCGGGAGGGAGGGAGGGTGGGAGGAGGGAGGGAGGAAGGGGAGGCGCCCCGTCGCTGCCCCGAGGCCCTCCCTCCCCGCCGAGGCTGCCGCGCTGCTGGCGTGCAGCACGTCCCGGAACCTGCTCCGGTGTCCTCGCGGGCCGAGAGGGCGGCGAGCCAGAGGCAGACCCAGATCTCCGACGATGCCCAAGAGGGGAAAACGCTGAGCTGGAGTCGGCGACACAGCGCCGATAGGTCGGCGGTAGGCCCCCCCAGCGCAGGCGCGCGCTTTCGGGGGCGGGGTGGGCTTTCGGGCCACTGTCGGCGAGGGATGGACGATCGGGGGTCGATGCAGCCTACCCTGAGCCTACCCCTTCCCGAAAGTTACCCCTGATACGATTTTTCATTGCAAGCGTTTTTCCTCGATCTCGGCCTCGGGGGCCCATGATCGGAACCTGGGGCCATCGTCTACCCCGTGGGAAGGGCTGGGGACTTCTCGGGCCGCGCAGTGACAAGATCATGTCGGCGGATATCTGGGGGATACGCTGCGATGAGACAGCCTGCTGGTTGTCACAGAAGCCTCAGCGGCCCACATCTGGCGAGCAGCAGCATGCGGCAGCCAGAGCAGCTCATCGGCAACCCCGTGCTTCTCCTCCTCCTCCTCCTCCACCTCCTCCTCCTCCTCCTCCTCCTCATCCTCGTTCTCGTCCTCCTCATTCTGGGTCCTCCTCCTCATCCTCCTCCTCCTTGTCGTTATACTTCCTGCCTCCACCTCCTCCTCCTTCTCCTTTTCCTCCTCCTCCTCCTCCTCCTCCTCCTCCTCCTCCTCCTCCTCCTCGCCTCCTCCTCCTCCTCCTCCTCCTCCTCCTCCTCCTCCTCCTCCTCCTCTTCCTCCTCCTCCTCCTCCTCCTCGCTCTCCTCCTCCTCCTCCTCCTCCTCCTCCTCCTCCTCCTCCTCCTCCTCCTCCTCCTCCTCTTCTTCTTCTTCTCATCATCATGGCGGAGGATTGAAGCCACAACAGGATGTAGGCGAGAGAAAGCGGGACAGGGATGGAGAGACGGCGGCAGCGGCGGCCGTCGAGGCTACACAACCTGAACCCTCATAAAAGTTAATTCAGCCCTTTAAAGTCCGGCGTAGACTATTGTCAACTGATAGAGAGCTGGCTGTAGCGTGTGCACGTATCACAGGTTACTGCTTTAAAGTGGCGACACTGAGAACGGAAGATAGAACGAGCATAAGTGTGGTAAAGAAGAGTCCTTCACCTGTGGGGCATGGTTACTGACATAGTCGCGCAACACTAATTAAGTGCTGCACTGAACAGGTACTGCTTTTTTTCCGTGAGCGTACACTAGCGATGCTTGGGGTAGCATGGCAAAACTTTCACTGTCCAGCCCTTCACCTTAGCCCTAAGAGCACACATGGCACGCTGCATGCGCTGTAGTAGTGTGAGCGCACAGCATGCAGCACACGATCAAGAAGGGGTGGGGGCAGCAGGCAAGTTCGGTCCCCTCGCTCTCCTTTCATCGCGTGCAGGGTTATGGATCATACAGTCCATTCCAGTGACTTGTATTTCTGTCGCGTAGTAGTCCAGCGGTGCGTGGTAACGTCGTAAGCTGTGTGGTATCCAGCCGTCGTCGCGTTCAAGTTGTAGTTCCCGCTGGAGTTGGAGCTCGTCGGTAGAATCCCATTGGAGCCCTTCTGACCCCTGAAGGTCTAATCTGTCGGTGATAGTCCGACGAGTGTGGTTTTTTGGGGCCCAAGGAGGCGCTGGGGCTTTGCGGATCCGTCGACGGGGCACGGGGGCCGAGGAACCCACGAATACCCAAGGAAACCGAACCCAGGCTTCGTGAAACATGGCTTGTGCTAGCAACTCGCAAAGCCCCCGCGGGTATTGTTTGGCAGCTGCTGTGCGCCAGCTGCCAAGCTCATCTTCACCTTCAAGTGCGATATGTCCCCTGGGATGGGCGCAGAGGAAGCCCCCCCTCCTGGCCTCTAGTGCCTCTCCAAGCCCAGGAGCATGAACAGCCAACAAAACAGTAGGTTTACGAGAGGGGGCCCCGAAGGCACATTGGTGAATGACATGCTTGTTCACATGGGGTTGTGCGCACAGCCGTTTAACTTCTTCCAGGTGCCAGGAGCTGGGGGCTTCAGGGGGATCCCAAGGCTCGGCAGGATGTTCCATGATGTAAGGAACTCCCAATCTCCAACAAATAGCGCCTAGCTCAATGCATGTCCTGAGAAGCTTGTTGCCAAGAGAGACTTGGTGCCTCTCTCTGCTATTGATGTGGGGAACCCCCCAGGGCTGATCTCGCAGCCTCAGCGGCGTCGGAGGTCGCGTGGTCACCGAGCCGTCAGCACGTAGAGCTGGGGGTCTAAATCTTGCCACAGACCATGTCTCACATGGTGGACCACATACGACTGCTGCGATGCATCCTGCTTTGAGCAGACGAATCCACAGCCTGACCGATTCAACTTTAGTTAAGTCTCCATTGATGGGGTCATTAATGACGTCGATGCTAAGGAAAGCTTGGCTGGAAACCTAGAAACAAACATATCAAAACAGTCTTGAATGCCCCCTTGTCTCCTGACCCCAGAAAACAGGTGCAGCACAAACATGCGCCTTCGAGTGGGGGCACGAGTGATTTTGAAGACAGAGGGTGGGCTCGCTATGAGCACGGCTGGTGGAAGGGGTATTTCATCAACTGGTCGCCCTGTGCCTCGCAATCCAATTGGAGCCATGATGACCTTATGCGGTGGCGCTTGAGCAAGGTGGTCCTGATGCCCAGCTCTTCTGTTGCTGGCTGACTGCTCTTTAATGGCTGTTAAATTGCCCCTTATTTCTTCGGGATCCGCTCGCCTCCCTGAGGCTATCCAGGCTCTGAGACACAACCTGGCCCGATTAAGGTGCTTATGAAGCCTCCCTGGGGTATGAAACTGCGCGCAGCAAACAAGACAAATCGTGCCAACCACAAAGGTTTTGGGTGCTGTAGGAGGCGGATGAAACTTACCGGCGTGGGCCTTGTAGTCACGAGCAGCCTCGAATGACGCGGAGCAAGACTGGCAAAAATAAACAGGGGCTTGAGGTTTGACAGTGGCCATGGGGGTGTCTCTAACATGATCTTCAATGCGCCTTCGCCAGGCGTCAAGGTGGTAACAATCGGCCCAGTGGGCAACAGCTTTCAGGGCCGCGGTTTTAATAGTAGACGCAAAAGCCTTGGGGGAACTCCTGACTGCAGCCAGCCAAGTGTGTAGGCTGTTGTCCGATGGCCGCTTGGAGGGATCAAGAAACAAGGAAAGCCACTGCAAATCTCTGACCAGCTGTGCCACCCATCCTGTTGGGGGGTTGGAAAGGTACTGCAAAGCAGCGCAAAGTAGTGGAGGAGCATGTTCCACCAGTCGTGTCAGAATTCGTAGCCTGTTGATGCGCACGATGACGTGATATGGTAGTCGGTCCGTGTGCTGCATGATGTCGTGGTAGGCGTCATGCTGCTCGGCGTCGTTGGCTCTCGGCTTACCTAACGCTGCCCTGTAGATTCTCTCGTGCGCAACACGTAACTTAGTGGTTAGCCCCTTTGTAAGATCTAACCATGTACAACAATTGTACAAAAGAATGCTGCTGGATAAAGCCTCTGCCCATAGAACCTTGGATTTCAGAGGTAGCTGGGCCCTAGGCGCGATGGTTTTTCTGATGGGGGGGAGGGCCGCACCTGATGATTGGGCTCTGGTAGTGATTTCAATGGCCATGCTGTCATCGGCAGACAAGCAGGACCCCAGAACTCGATGATGTGCGACAATGTCAGCACTGAACCCCCAGCGATCGAGTTCAATCACTGTATATGGCATGCCCTCTTTGTTTAAACATGCAGCTTTGGACCCTGGACCACGAAATGCCAGCATCACCTTTGTTTTGGTGGGGTTGGGCCGAAAGCCAAACTCAAAACACGCGGTTACAACTGCCTCGAGCACCCTGGTTGCAGCCTCCACGAGGCCGGCTGCACGCTTGGAAATGAAACTTTGTGTGAGATCATCAACGAATGAGACTCCCATGTCCTGTTGAAGCATGTCGCTGGCACTCGCAAATGAGAGTTCTCCAGGTGGTGGTGGGCCAAGCTCGGATTCAATGCCTCCAGGAGTCCTCACTTTGTCTCCTATGGTCTGATGCACACGGGCAAAAACTACATTGAATACATCTGTTGCAGGAACTGATCCTGGTCTAGATCCTAGCCTGGGTGCAACAAAATGCGAAGCTCCAGAAACCCTCCAGAAGTTGCCCCTTTGTGCATCCCGCAATACAGCGAGTAAGTGGGCATTGTCCACGTTCTGATCGAAAATGGGTATACTGTTTAATTGTGCTCTCACTCCTTCCATCAGAACTGGGGGGATTGGCATGGTCTCTAGTGCCTCCTCATGCTCGTTGTCAGTTCCTGGTAATTTTAGAGCTAGCTGACGGATAGTAGTATAGAAGGCCGAAACGAGATCCAATAGGACCACTCCCCAGGAAGCTTTTCTGACCTCGGTTGCCTGCCAAAGCATTCTGGCTGTGTGAACTGCCATGTCGCATCCTCTGCCTTCCAGCCCTCCCATCTGTATCTTGAGGGTGCTTGCATATAGAAAATCTAATGCCAATCGCCGAATGTGTTTGTGATGAAGAGAGCACAGGCCTGCGGCCACCAAGATGCTTCTCTTTGTCGCAGCTAAAGTAGGATCTCCCGATCCTTTCCAGAAGTGCCCTAACCGCCCTCCTTTGAAGGAGATAGGCTCGCGAGCAAGCACAGATGTTTTGACGAGCACAGGGGTGATTAGACGTGCAAGAGCCCGCGGAGCAGCTCTCCCAAAATCCCCACGAAAGAAATCAGTGCCAGGAACACGCCCACTTTTGAGTCGGCCGAGAAGCTGCTCAGTCTCATATATGGTGGGGACAACAAACGGATCGCGCGGAGCGCTATGTTCCAGTAGGGGGGGTGCGGTGTTGCATTCAAGGGTGAGATGGTCAACATCGACAGAGCGCCCAGATTCCACCTTGGCAAAATGCTCTTGAATATGCTCCGAAACCTCCGAGTCTTCTAAGAGAACAGCGCCGTCGGGTTTTTTGATCATAGGGAGCTGCGGTGGACCCTGCTTGGGCCTGTCCCCTCGACCCCCGCACTTAAGCA